ATATATATATATATTCCAGTGAAAGCAATGATTAAAATCAAATGCTTGATAGAATTGATCTAATTAATTTTATCAGTCATTTTAATTGTATATAAGCATGAGTGCTATATCAAATTTGTAAGATACTGAGCATGTATATAAATAAGAATTGTATATATACATTGGAATGACAATAAAGGTGGGAAACACCCACAAAAGACAAAAAAAAAACTATGAATATAATAAATCTACTTGCAAATTAGGATTTTGTTTTAAAATACTCTGTTTTATTTAAATAAGAAGTTAAAAATGTATATAATAAAAATCAGTTACCATGTATTTTTGGTTGCCAAAATACATTGTATTTAAAAGACTAGGTATAAAGAACATTCGTTTACTAATTTAAGAACTTTCTTTATTTTCAGGTTGCACTAGATACATTTTTTCTCAAAGGACTAATATGCAGCTTAAAAAAAGCCAACATGCAAGTAGACTGGTATGTGCTGCAATGACAAACAAAAATATACAGTATCTGCAATATTTGGTAAGTTAATTTTCTATTTATTTTTTGAGATTTAAATAATCCATTTGTGTTTTAATTTAAGACAACAGCTAATGTATTTCAGTAAGTATATTGCATTATAGTAAATTGTCTGCTTTACGACCGTTGATTTTAGAATGACCTAATATTACCATGTTGAATTACTAAAAATACAAGCAATGTACTATTAAACAGTTGTAAACAAAATTTGACATTTGCCCCAAGACCGTTAAAAAGTTTATGTATACCTCATTGCTCCACGATTCAATTACAGTAAGTAAATTAGTGTTTCATATCTACACATTAAACATTAGAATACGGTATTGTCAGCAATAATGAAACCTACAGTCCCACATTAACACCATTAAAATAATGAAGCAAGCAGGCCACTGTTATTGCAGCATTATGTTGCGTGATACTTGCTATTACATGTCACTTCACTACTCAAATTTGTGTTGTCATGATGACACGAGTCTCATGGTGTACTCCGGGTTTAGCAATTAAAGTTCACAATTTACGAATCTAATTGTCTTTCGAACATGTCAATTTCAAAATTATTACTGCATATACAGTTCTACTCGAACCTAGAAATTTATAAGAACAATGTAATTCTCATTTAGATAGATAGGCCTACATTTCATACTTCCTAAGTTTTGTGACAATATATTTTTATATAATTTCAGAATACCCAGATACCCAGTCAGCAGCTGTAAAAACCAAGATGACTAAAATATGTGAAGATACAAGGCGCTCCATGTCAAAGGGAATGGATACAGCAGCTAATGTTTAACAACAGGCGCTTAATGTGCAGTAATTTTTTAATTTTAAATTGTAATTGTAATTATCTTTGCTAAAGGTAACTTAGCAAAGTGTTTCATATCATAAGTTTATTTCATATCCTACAGATGAGCTGCAGCATGCTTTACCATCTAAGTAACTGTTCGTCTATATGCAATAAAAACAATTTAAAAATTGTAAACTCATTGCTACATTAACTTAACAACTATTAAAATCCTTGACTAATTTTAAGCAAAACAATACTTTTAGTGTGAAACAGTTACTGTATACATTTGACTAATGTATGTATTTAACTTAAAAATGTTATAACACATATATAATATATAATACATACATAATCCGTCTGAATATTATGCAATAATCTTATGATAGTGCTTATATATGTACTTAAAATTTAGTTTAATAAATGTTTATTTTATCAATTTTAAAACTGTTAATATTTTATTTTTGTTGTACCTTGCAGGATGAAGGTGAGAACTTTGAGATTGTGCATGTGATGATTTTACTGCATGGTGACACTGAATCTCTGTAGAACAAACAATTTTGTGTAAACTCCACCAATAACACATAGTCAATTATGTGTTAACACTGTGTTTACTGTATGTTGGCAAGACATGACAACAATGTGTTTACTGTGAAAACCTCACCACTTTCACATAGTCAACAGAGTAAACACATTGTGTTTATTGTGGGGTTACATTATGTTTACTCTATAGGAACACTGTGTTTAGTGACAATATGGAGATAGTTTGTTTATTGTGTGGTACACTATGGGAACAGTGTGTGAACAGTCTGTTAACACTGTGTTTACTGAATGTTAGCAATTTGTGACAACACTTTCACACTGTGAAAACATCATATAGTCCACAGAGTGAACACACTGTAAACACACTTTTTATTGTGTGGTGACAATATGGAAACACTATGTTCCTGTGTAGGGACAGTGTGTTAATTGTGTGGCTACACTATGGGGACAGTGTGTTTACTGTGTGGGAACAATGTGATTATTGTGTGGTGACACTATGTTTATGTTTGGTGTCACTATGGAAACACTGTGTTTACTTTGTGCGGACAGTGTGTTAATTAAGGGAAGTAAATAGATATTGCAGCAACTCAGAGTTACAAATGATAACAGTTGGCCAATTAGAATTGGAACCCAGTTGAAAAGCAGTTGGACCTCATAACCTTTGGAATACCAGTTGAACCAGTTGGAATTGAAACCCATAGTAGAAAACCCATTGAAAACCAGTTGGCCACTCATAGTAGAAAACCCATTGAAAACCAGTTGAAAACCCATTAGAAAACCCATTGAAAACCAGTTGGTAACCTATTAGAAAACCTATTAGGAAACTCATTAAAAACCCATTGGAAACCCAGTTGAACCCATTAAGAGGGTACGAAATCACGTGTTGGATTTTTCCAGTGGGTTTTCAACTGGGTTTTCAACTGGGTTTTTTTCAACGGGTCTCAATGGGAATTTTTACCTGGGTATAGCAAGGCTTGATCCACGATGTCAAGGGTGGATGCCTTAGGTAGCAGCACCAGATAATGTGTTTTCTCCTACCCGAAATCCACCCTGACATGGGTAGGCTAGCCAGGCCTAAGCCCAAGGCCCTATTTTCATATCCCCTGATTTACCTAATTTTATATTGTGACTATTCATTCCTCATTTATTGCATGTGTAAAACATTTAAAAAACATTTAATTACTCACTTGTTTTAATAATGAATTCATTATTAAACGAACAATGCTCGATCGCGGATGCAATGAAAAATTGCAACCCCCAACAAAAAAGTTACTAGCAGTTTGCCAAACAATCCGGTGATTTGATTGGTCAATATTAGGGTAGTCGCCACTACGCTAAATTCAGAAATTGGGATTGTCGCGAAAGCTGTCACAACGCCGATTTAGCCAGTAAGGTTTGTGAGTATGAGCAGATGTCTGTTACGCTCTATTAGTTCGTAGTAGATTGGCCGCGTAGTCAAAACGAAAAATGCTTAATAGTAACATGGAGGAATACTCATTCCTCCATGATAGCACTGGTGGTAGTAGTAATAATAACGAGTGCAAGTATTCGTAGTATTATCTGTAGCAACAATAAGAGAGCTATACTAATTGCAGTATCTGATATGATCTTTTTTTAAAGAATTATTGAAAGGTAACTTACAAAGCTTTTAAGTTCTTCAGTTGACGAAAAGTATTTTCTGAGTACTTACTTAGTTTGTTAAATTGTATATCTCTGTAAAGTTAGAAAATCAATTAAATTTAGATTTTAATAACAATGTCTAGAGAGTATATGTCAAAAAATAGTTATTGTTGGTGTGAAACCTAAAATATGTGTATGTAACCGTTGTAATCAATAACCAGTAATTTGCCGCTATTGATATGTAATCCACAAATCGTATGTAAGACAAATTCACTGAAACCATATTTAATTGATAATTGAGTAATCGATTAACATAAAAAAAATCAATACATGTATACAGTTAAAGTGCTTGTACAAACCAGGCGCACGTACGGGAACGTATGATAAATAGCTGTAAATACTAATTTAACAGGAAAATAATGTGAAATAAAAAAAAATAATTTTACAAGAAATTGATCATCAATAGTAAAATGACAATTAGTGTGGAATTGGATCAGTCTATTGGAGATCTGTAACGTCCATATAAAATTGTTTTAATTATTTAACTACAGTACAGAGACAAACAGAAAGGGTACAGAGAACTCCAGGCCAGCGTGTTAATATAGAGATAACCTACCAAATTTATAAATGCAACATTATAAGAGCATTTATAATGTTATAATAAAATATATTCAATAAGTATAAGTAATAATTTATATTTATAAAATGTTGGAATATTTATAAAATAAACCTAAAGTAAATATTAAGTGATTGAATATGCAGAACCACAGTTCCAGCTGCAATAATCTAGCGTCCACATGACTCTGATTTTAAAACTGATTTTAAAACTAACAGTATTAATCGGTAGGCATTATTATTGGTGACCCGCTTTTGTTATTGTACGGTTCTTTACGGCGGATCACCTCTTGTTATTGTCAGAGATATGTTTTAGTGATCCGCTTCATGAGCCGATTACCTCTTGTTATTGTACGGTTCTTTTTTTCTTTTTATTCTTTCTTTCTTTCCATATCTTGTTAGCACGGTATCTCAAACTTGACAAGAACTACACACATAGCAGCTTCGACGAACATTTGGCTTGGCCTGGAATAGTCACAATGAGCTTTTCAATGTGACCAGATCATGCGTGACATCATCTAAGCGCAAATTTGCTTTTTTACATTATCGATCATATCGTCCAAACCAATTGTCATTTCTGAATCATATTCAGTGGGCATAAACTTCAGGTCAAGGTTGAATATCACGAACCAAAATATTTGGCGTGCGCGTCCTAACGCACTCGTACACGTGCGTCAAAATTTTAACATGCTCAAAAAATTTGTTGACTAAATTAGAGCACGTTTCAGGACATTTTGAGCATTTCAACGTTTTTCAAATTTTCCGTACAGCACGAGTATTTTTACACACGGAGGACGGAAGCTGGATATTTAGTTTTTTTACATGTTTTTGGGTTTTCAGCACTGTATTCACAAATTTCTATTCTTTTTCAGTGCTCGTAGGGCCAATAGCAATGCCGTACGTGCGCATCAAACGTATGGATCCCAGTGCGCGTTTTTGTCGAAAACACTGAAAATTTTGCAAAAACATGCCTATTTTTAATCAGTTAAAGCTCCTTAGGATGACAGGTGATCCTAATTTGTATTACTTGTTCTTAAAGCGCATGAGTTGTAGGTATAATTCTTTAGATCATAATTACTGTTCGGACATTTTGACGTCATCACATTGCCATCTGAAATAAAAAACTGAATTTTTTTCTTTTACATCATTTGTTAAAATATTTATTTGAGCGTATCTCACTTATCTTTAATCGATCGTCTCCCAACTCTGAGTATGTTACAGCTGAGACAATTTTCTTTCATAAATATGACTTTTTTAAACATTTTACGTCATCATGGTAAAAATCCTTGTGCGCGGTTTTGTAGACAAACACTGAAAATTTGCCAAAATCATAAATATTTTCAATCAATTATAGCTTCTTAGAATAAATGGTGACCACCATTTTATTTTTATCTATTCTTAAAGCACATGAGATGTAGATATTATTTTATCAATCATCATGGCTGATCGGACATTGTGACGTCATCACATTCCTATCTGAAATTTTAAAAAAAATTATTTTTATCTATGATGTAATTTATCAAAATACTCATTTGAGTGTATCTCCCTTATCCTTGATTGATCGTTTTTAACTTTGAGTATGATATAGCTGAGACAATTCTCTTTCATAAATATGACTTTTTAAACATTTTGATGACGTCATCATGGTCATATTCTTGTGCACGTTATTGTCGACCAACACTGGAAATTTGCCAAAATCATCACTATTTTCAATCAGTTATAACTCCTTAGGATTAAAGATGACCCCGAATTTTTATTACTTATTCTTAAAGCACATGATTTGTAGAAATGATTTTATAGATCATAATGGCTGATCGGACATTGTGACGTCATCACATTGCCATCTGAAATAAAAAATTTCTAAAATACGCATTTGAGCCTATCTCGCTCAGTATGTTATAGCTGAGAAAATTTTCTTTCGGAACTGTGCCATTCATTCTTCATTTTGATGACGTCATCATGGACAAAAATAATGATTTTTAGACCCCTCATCTTTCTTTCTTCAAAATCTGTGCGACAGAAGGCGACAGACTGTATTTCGATGGTATCAGACTGATATTTATATAGCTCATATAAAGGGAAAATTCGTGTGGCATTACCGACCTGTGAAATTCTAGACAGCGGGCGGCAGACTGTATTTCGACGCTATCAGACTGATATAATATAGTTCATATAAAGGAAAAATTCGTGTGGCATTACCGAACAACAGGCACTTTTAATTAAATGACACTTGATAAGGTTTAATTTCGTGTGCCTTTACCGTCCAAATGCACGTCATGATGTACCCGTGCTCAAAATTACCTTATTTAACTAAATTATAGCACGTTTTAGGGCAATATGAGTGTTCATATTTTTTTCAATCCGCGTCGCGAGCGCACCATGAGAGTCGAAGTTCAAATGTGCAGCGGATCACCACCTAACTCGTCATCAGTGACGAGTTCAAATCTAGTTATATTTTGTAATAGATAATATGATTGATGTAAATAAAGTGGTAGATAATCAATATTGCAAATTATTCAAAAATTAGATTGTCATAATTAAGACTTTGTATAAAACAATGCAGTGATAATATTTAGCCTAATCAATAGAAACTTAATTATAAAACTGCAAATGGCATGTAATCCATAAGTATGTTCATAAAATACTTTAAGGTTTTGGTTTTAGTTTTGATTGAGCTTGTCTTAGGCCGATTTGGGTTTGTTCCGATTTGATTGTGGTCATGGTGGCATTAATGGGTTTAGTCTAATTTGGTTTTGGTCTACAGTAAGTTGTTTGCAGTTTGTGTTATCTGTTGGTCAGTGTTGGATTTTGACTGAATTGAATTGGGTCCGACTTGAATTTGGTACGAGTTGGTTTAAGTCTGTCTATCCAAGTTGTCTGAGATTTTTGTTGAGTTATTTGCCCCTTGCACTCCTGTTAACTTACTAACAAAAAAACCCCCTTGAAAATGTTACATTACCAACATTCCTTTACACAGTGTATTAACATTATTAATGATTATTATGATTATTGAGTAACTTACAACACCTGTAGCGAGAACCACATTTCCTGAAAGGCGTTGTCCTTTATTTCTACTAGATTGTTGCTGTGCATGTATCTGCTTACAAAATAAAACGACAGGTAAATGTAGAAGACGACATTTTCTACAACATACTGCTTGCAGAAAATTAGAAAACCTCAAAAATTCAAATAAACATTTGTACAGCCCATTAAAAGAACAAATAAATAATTAAATTTCAACCAGAAACATATCGAAAATAGTTTTCGCTGATTTACAGACATTGCTAAAAATCACATAAATTGATTATCAGTCTATTTAAACGTATCTGCAAAACGAATACAGTAAATATTTTATTATTTAACTCTTCGGTAATTAGGAAAAACTTTAAATGTTGAACATAAACAATTCCAATTTGAAATTGAGTTCTTTTAGCTTAGGGCAGAGTGTATATTAATAATTTATTCTCACATCATACATAACAGTAAACATTGTTTACGATTGACAGAAATAGCTCTGTAGGTAGGATAGTAGGAATGTTATAACAATTCAATTGCAATAACATCTACTACTACTAATAACAAAAATAACTCAAACAAAACTTATGAAAAATGAGAATAGAAAAAGTGACGTCTTTAAGTAGCATACCACAATTGCAATCAAACTTTGCAATTAAGAGGTGATTGCTTCACTTACAGATTTTGAAGAGATTTCAAGCCGTTGAATGCACCTGCAGTTAAGATATGTATTTTGTTACTGCTCAGGTCCCTTAAAAAAAACATTGAAAGTTGAAATTGTATTTAGTAAGAACTCTTTTTTTTTTAAATTGTATTCAAATCACAATCATAATCAAAATTAACGATAATACTGATATTTTGCTGGTTTCTTCATTCTTTTTCTTTTTATTGTGTTTTAGGATTTTTTCGGTTTTAATATTGTTAGCCCCGTTAAGGTAAATTCCATCCGTTGAATGTGAACGCACTGTATTTCATAGCTGCGCAGTGTGACTGCCTTCGGCAGATAGCGTTTAGGCAAGGTTTTGGTTGTAAATCGTTTCGGTATTTTTAGCCCTTTAATTGATTGTTTTTTTCAAATTGATTTTCAATCTTTTAATGGCCTATTATTGTGATTTTCCTCCAGTTCCACCAGTCTCCATTTTGATACAAATTTTTTTTATATAAAAATGCAAAGTAATCAATTTGAATATTAGAGGCGAAAGTCTTAAAAACCATAGACCTGTCTTAAACTCTGTCTTAAACCTGTCTTAAGCTCTCGCTAGCGTTTCAACAATACGTGGGTGGAATTGAATTAGATAGAATCGCCCGCCTTTCTGAATCAGAAAATAATTTTAATTGGCTAACATAAATATTACCCTCTTATATTTCCACGAAGGTCGACCATCAGAAATTCTGCTTGTAAAAGATCCGTACACTCTATTGTGATCTATACGGTCGATGGACACATATCAACCCCATGTTAAGAAAGAAATATAAATATGTTGCAAATAATGATATTGAATTGGAATACAGTATTATTTGTGGCCAATGATCATGGAATCAATTATCATTTGATTCATATGAAATTCTAGACAATGAAAATTAGTTCTCTTCCGCACTACTTAACAACGCTAGATCTGCTAACGATTTTACTCGTTTCAAGCATAAAGAGCTACACTTTCTACATTTCAATATTAGATCAATGATCCCAAAATTGACCTAAATTGAGGATATAGCGAGGAAAAGCAAATTGGGCATTTTTCCCTTTGTAAAACATGGTACGACGATTCAGTGATGGATAATGACATTTAAATTAAAGGGCATACAGTTCTATGAAAATACTGCAATCGCAAAGAAAGTGTAGTGTGCATTTATATCCGAAGTAATATTGCTTTCAATCACCATACCGATATCAAAGCCGATAGTGCCGAAATTATTTGGACCCAACTCCTACTCCGAAGACGAAACCTAACGGTTGGAACATGTTACATGTTATTTCTTATATTGTTACCTTAACTCGTAAGACCAAAAGATGAGTCCAGTGACGGCCATTGTTGGTTTTATTCCGAATGTAGAAGGCGGCATAACACAATACTGTACATATTATCTTCTCTTTTAACAATAAAAACTACTTAACTTCAGTTTACAATTCTTCAAGTTTCAAGATTCAAAATAACTTTATTTATTCGAAATTTAAGGGAAAATTTAAATCTACAGAATAATTCAATGTAATAATATTAAAAATTTTTAAAATATTTAAAATACCCTAGCTAAATTTGTCAAAAAAAAAATGAAAAACACAAAAGGGATATACAAAACTTGAAAAACAAAAACAATCAAAAAGGGCATAAATAAGGGAGACATACAAATGATAATAATAATAATATATAAATTATATAGCGCAAAACAAAAAAAAAAAGCCGGAAAAAAAACCAGAACAAAACAATAAACAGCAAGCTAGCAAACCAACCGAAGCATGGGTTTACACCATCACTGCCAACCGGACACTGGTTCTTAGTAATATTCAGGCCCTATACTGGCACTGCGTATTCTAATACAGGTTTAATGACTTGTTCATAAAAAAACAATAACAGTTATCATAATTCATCATCTATCAATTGTATTATAAACAATCCGAGATTACACACCCTTGCCCTGTTGAGCAATATTTTTTGTATGCAATCGATTGCGCACGATTCGCTTGTTGCTGTTGTATTAAAAAGTGAAATATTACAAATACATATTAGGTACAGGTGCACGTATTAATTGTAAATTTAATCGAATATAAGCTGTTCATTTCTCCCTTTTGTTCTTTTTTTCCTGCATATATAGATACCTTTTTTCATATTTTACTATTTTTCATATTTAAAAAAAAAAATTGGAACAGCAGATTTTGAGCTATACATTAAGTTGTACAGTGATTATGCTATTATTTCATCAGTTGTGTTTAATTAAACAATTTACAAATACTGTGTATTACTATTAAGTAATTTTAAAAAAAAGTTATAACACAAATAGATTCAAACAGAATGATAATTCCCAACAGCATTCCCAATTCCCAATTGCATATTTTTAAACATCTTAATTATTTATAATTTATTATTAATTACTCACATTTCTGTGCAATTTTGCCCCATTGTCTCTTTTGCTATTTTTTTTTAAATATTTTAATGTATTTAAATTAGAAATGTAAGTTAACATTAGTAATGGTTTATAATTTATTAAGTATTTTAAGAAAAAAAGATTTAAACATGTTTTAATTCATTTTACGATTTTTAGAAATTATTAGTGCTGGTTTTACCTTATTGAATATTTTTAAACATCTTAATTATTTATAATTTATTATTAATTACTCAAATTTCTGTGCAATTTTGCCCCATTGTCTCTTTTGTCTACGCTAGGCCTGGATCTGTATTTTGTGTCATTAACTCCCTGAATTAACAATATGTTATTAACAACTCATACAAAGCCTGAGGGAACATTATAACAATCAATAAATACGTGATTTTAATTCGTTTAAATCGTAGAATCACATACCCATAGGGTCTGTTGTAGAATACAGTACCCAAAATTATGAAACAGCCTGCATCGAAAGCCTAGGCCTAGCCTAGCCTCGGAAGTAAAATGTATCCTCATCGACACAGTTTCCTCGCTGACCTTCTCTCCTCCTGGTTTGGTAGGCCTAGGCCTAGGTAGGATGAGATGGTGCAAACAAATTGACAAATAATGCATAGGCATAGGCCAAACTTCTAACCAGTCTGAATCACTTATAAACTTCCATAAGAATAATGTACTTACAGAAAACTCAAGAAAAGCTTGCGCTTCAATACGGTAGAACAAACTTCGCATACAGTTACATAGGCCTGCCATTCTTTCAAAACTACACCGTGAACACACGTACACATAAAACGAGGACGATCTGAACAAGTTACTTGGTTAATGAATTATTTATGACGGGTCCCCAAGTTATGTACGAACAAAATACGCTTCCGGGCTGCTTCCAGCATATCAGGTCATAGTATGATGGCTGAATGGAAAAAATGATTAGCCTTTGTCTAGAAATTAATCTCTTAGGTTTTCAAACTTATTACATAAGCAATTCTTGACTGATACATATTTATTTTATATTGTTATGGCATAACTCATATAGTGGGCTAAAAATAATGTTGTATTTCATGATTTCCAACATTTTCACGCTTTCCTCGTTAAAATTGGCCAAGTACTTACGAAGATATAATATTAATCATTGTTTTTGGTAAGGTTTTGGTCATATAGTGGGCTAAAAATAATGTTGTATTTCATGATTTTGAACATTTCCACGCTTTCCCCGTTAAAATTGGCCAAGTACTTACAAATATATGATATTAATCATTGTTTTTGGTAAGGATTTGGTCAGCTAATCAATATAATACCTTACTCCCCCTCTGCCGATAGCCATTCAAGCAAGGCCTTACTTATCAGTCAGAGAATGTTACAAAGCATGCATGAAGTACTACAGGGCTTATGTGAATTTTATGGGGTGGATCCAGTAGGGGCACAGGGGCACGTGTGGCCCCACCCAATTTGCCCTATATTTTAAAATTTTCAATGCAAATCAATGTTATGTGATACTAACTTACCTATTCTGAGATTATTGTCCCCCACCCCCACTTAATCATGTTTGAAAAAATTCTGGATCTGCTCCTGATTTTTACATAGTTTTGAAGAAGTTGCAATGTTTGTGGGCCTAGGCTATATTACTATAATTATAAGGTGTTCTGATTGTCCATTTTTTAGGGAATAGGAACCTATGTATTATGCACTTTAAAAATCTTATTATTTTTCTCATTATTATTATTATTATTATAATTATAATTATAATTATAATTATAATTATAATTATTATTATTATTATTATTATTATTATTATTATTATTATTATTATTATTATTATTATTATTATTATTATTATTACTATTACTATTCTAATTCTGCCTAAGCTGACCTAGGTATGATGCTATGCCTACCTAGCCTTTTAGATGATCATGCCCAAATGTTATTCTAATTTTCAATTTTTAGGTAGTAATAACTTACTTCCTCATGTTGCTTCTTTCATCCCTCAATAATATCCCTAAGCATAGTGTTATATGAATGTTAGATCTAGTAACTGCATCATGAAACAAATTATAACGGCAACAGGTATATAGTAAGAAATAGAAACGTTTTATTTATTTACTTTTTTGTATAGTCTTCTACGTACCTACAGTACCTATGCTGATTTTTTTTTTTTTTTGTGCATGTTAACATTGTATATGTTATTGTCATTTTCTTTTTATGTACCTATTATGCTCATCTGTGTTTGGATTTTTTTTTCTATTTGTAGCAAACTTTACACTATTGTCACGGTAACTCATTGAATATGGCTTGCTATCAATTAATCATGCCCCAATGTCTAGTTGTAATTATTTAACATTATTTTTTTAGTTAATTTCAGTAAACAATGTACTAAAAAATAAATTTAAAAGGTTGTTTAATCGAAATAATGTTTACCTACTTTCCCTCAATAGACTTTTTAAAATGTAGCAAGATCTACACTATTGTTTTCTGCAGTTTCATTTCCGTGATGATAGGCGGCCCAGTGTAAGGTGTTCTTATTTGCCAATTAACCCACTTTACAGAGGATATGATCAAATCAGTAAAACAGATATGGAATGGTGATATATTTCATTCATGCGGTAGTACAAACAGTAGTGGAACAGCCATCCTATAAATGGGTTGAATATGAAAAGGTGGACACAGAATCGAGTAGTGATGGACGGAACGTCCTCGTCAATGTTGTATTTGGAGAGAAACACTAAACTTTTGTTTCAATATATGCTCCAAATTTTATTAATAAAAGAATATACTTTTTTAATAAAACGCTAGAATGGATTGGAAAAAAATGTACAACAAAAGAGCAATATAATTATAGATGGAGAATTTAATTGTATATTAGACCATTCTAAAGACCAAAAAGTAGTAGATATATACGTATTGATAAATCATCAAAAGGATTTGAAGATATAATGAAATTCTTTAAATGTAAATAAATCCAAATCTTAGACAATTCACATGGCGAAGGCGGCAACAAGCGATCTATAGACGCCTAGATTTGTGGTTAGTTACAGAAAATCTTCTAAAAGCAAAAGAAATCGTAAGTGCAGATATTCGACCAGCCGTGGGGACAGACCACATGTCAATAACTCTTAAATTCCAAAGTGCATCATGTAAATAAAAAGGCCAAGGTATGTGAAAGTTAAATCTCTCAATGCTTGCCGAAGAAAATAAAAAATAAATAAATAAAATAAAATGTATCATTGAAAAATAAATAAATAAATGAATAAATAGAATATAGAGTATAACCGGGGGTCCATTGGAGGCTTATGGGACCTAATGAAAATAAAAATCAAAGAATACTCAATAGCATACGGTAGGGAAAAATCAAACAAACAACAAATGGAACGCAAACAACGTGAAAGTGAAATACATGTTTTGAACAACCTGAGGGTAATGCAGAAGAATGTTTAGATAAAATAAAAAACTAAAAGAGCTAGACAATTTGTATACAAACGAGGCTGGAGGTGCACAAATTAGGTCTAGAGTAAAATGGCTAGAAAAAGAGAAAAAAAATAATAAATACTTTTTAAGCTTAAAAAAACAGAACAAAACGAATCATCAAATGACATCCTTGAGAAATAATAAAGGAAAGGTTTTTACTGATCCGCATAAAATCAGGGAAGAGAATTTACTATTTACACCAATCTTTACGAGGAAGAAAAAATATCACAAGAGAACATTGATAAATAACTAAACGTTCTCGATAACGTAATTTCAAAATTAAACAATGAGCAAAAACAAGAATGTGAAGGCCCAATAAAATTGGAAGAATGTAAAGTAGCAATATAAAATGAGTACTGAAATGTCACCAGGTCCCGATGGGATTCCTATAGAATTCTATAGTATTTTATGGGATGATCTAAAAATATCTTAATAGAGGTCTATATGGAAGCCTACAATAAAGAGCGTCTCACTCTATCCCAACAACGATGCGTTATAACACTTTTATTTAACAAAAGGGAGATAAAGAAAATTTAAAAAACTGGAGACCTATAACACTTTTAAACTCTGATTATAAAATTGCTGCAATGAGTATTGCCAATAGAAGGAAAACAATCTTACCAGAAATAATCAGTGAGCACCAAACTGGATATATAAAAGGTTAAGATATTTTCGAAAATATTCGAATAATAGAGGATAATCCAATATACAAGCGAACATAATATTGGTGGCGCTATTTTGTGCCCTGATTTTCAAAAGGCTTTTGATCAAATCATGGATACCTCCATGATCAAATAAACAGAAACTTTATGTCTGTTCTGAAAACGTTTAATTTTGGCCTATCATTCATTACATGGATTAAAACATCATACAATGGAGCAAGCAGATGTATCACTGATAATGGCTTTCTAACCAAATATCTTGATTTGTAAGTTGGGGGGGGGGGGAGACAAGGCTGCCCCTTATCGCCTCTACTTTTATTTAAGCAGTTGAAATATTATCAATTAATATACGCAATGACAAACACATTAAGAGAATCACAATACCAGCGATTAAAGAAAAACATTGTGAGCTAAAATTAACACAGATGACACAACTATTTTCTACAACACAATGGTCAGCGTTAGAAAGTCCTTCGAAAGTATAAATTCTTTTTGTAAAATATCAGGATTAAAACTCAACAATATGAGCAAAACAGAAGGGCTGTTACTTGGCAAACTAAAACGTACTAATGGTTTCATTGAATATAGAGACATGTACAAAAATATAATTAAAATACTTGGAATATATATAGGACACGCAAAAACAAGAATGTGAAAAAATGGACTGGACAAAAAAATTAGAAAAAAAAAAGAAAATAAATTAAATAGCTGTACAAAACGAAATCTCACAATGTATAGAAAAGTAACTATTGTGAAGTCACTAGGCAAAGAAAATTTAATAAAATATATAAATAAATAAATTTAAATAATTTTATTTGGAATAAAAAAAGTGAAAAAAGAAAAACATTAATGAGAGAAGAAGTTCATGGTGGTATCAAAGCCCCGGACTCTAAAACTCAGCGTGAAGCATCGCGTATAGCTTTCGCGAAAAAGATTTTGAATGCAGAGGGTAACGCCGTTTGGTGCAAACTACCAATGTATTACTTTAACAGGTTTGCACCTTCATTATCTATTCTTTCTATGTCTTGTTTCGACTTCGCATCAAGTGGAAAAGTAAGATTTAAAAATATTCCTGACTTCTATCAACAGGTGGCGTTATCACATGCAAAACTAAACAGATTGAGAACAACACCAAGTAATTGGAATGAACTTAAAACTGAAATAATTTTTGGTAACCATTTCATCGTGTCACTTGGTTACCCTCTCTACGATAAAACCTGGAAAAACTCAGGAATAACGAAGATATCGGACATTACTAACAACAGCAGACTTTTATCGGCAAAAACAATTAAAACAAAACTTAATAGATGCTACAATTGGGTGGCGGAATATACTTTAGTACGTGAAGCAATACTACGTGCATGGATACATATGCTATCTATGAAAATCAATAATGACACCGCTAACGTTACCTAAATGAATAAGACTAAAGATTTTTACTACTTAATTTTAGAA